AGCGAAGCATTCCACGTGTCGACTTGCCAATCATGTGTGGCGGTCTCCTGTCAGCGACCCTGAGTGAGGTGGGAACCGCGAGAGAAGGTGGGAAAACAGGCAGAAACTGAATGAAAGAAGTGGTCCAGACAGCACCTTTATGCTGCGGTTTTATGACCGCCTCAACGTCCTTGAAAGGTTTTAGGTGGAACCAAATTACAGTCCCTTCGGTGTTTGTGAATCAGAGGTGTTGACAGGCGTGAGTCCGGCCAACAAGGCTGCTCGACAGAGTCAGGGTGAAGGTATGCGGGGGCTTTCAGAGGCACTGAAAGAAATGCAGAGGGGAAAGATTTCCTTTCACACAAAAGCTGAGGAACAGTCTCGCCCCGAGGAGAAGCCTTGTCCTGCTGGGGGGTTATTTTAGGTGTCCCGCGGGGAGTCTGTCCTCAGTGGCCTGACAAAAGACTCTGACTTTCCCCCGGATAATAAGATATTCTGACGTCGCTGCATCACAGAGGTGGTGTTCACAAGAGAAATGCAGGTGCATGTGCTCCATTAAAGGGTGACTCATCACAGAGTGACATGCTGGGAAAAGAGCAGCCATTTATTCAAGGCCTCTAAGTTGCGGTCATGGTGTATTTTAAAGCATCCGCTGTTTGCCAGCTTTGCAGCGTATATTGAGGAACTGACAAGGAGCCTTTAAAGGATGAAAATAGATGTTTATGCGTTAGTGGAACGGTATGTGTAGGTGCCTCCTGGATGAGGGTGTATAACTGCTGTTGACGGGAAGCAGCCTGGGCCACTTTGTCTGCATGGATGTGACTAATGACCATTAGAGTGTCAGGAAGCAGTAGAGCTATAGGGCTCATAATGAGACAGTGAGTGAACTGTTGGCCAGAAAAGCTGCTGCAGAGATTCTGTGTTATTTATTGTCAGCTTAAAGCTAAACTCGAGACTTTTGAACTACTACTGGCTGCTAATAGTGTTGCTTTTTATCTGAATTTTATTGTAATTTGTGACTATATTACAGCTTTATTATTCCTGTACATGGTTACCGGCAAAACGAAATTACATTTTAGGTCATTACTGAGTGTAGAAAATCTTTCCCATTCACATCATATTTATGTTGTAACTCTGTGATAAAAGCATTGCGAAATCTGCGATGACTTTACTTTAAATATAACTTTATCCGAATGGCTTGGTACAGATTACCTTTAATTAACATAACCGCAGTTTGGGATTTGCATAATTAAACTAATAAAGCGTCAAGAAAGACCCAACGCTATCTTTCATCCTACGCTCATGACAGGGATGATCTAAACAAATTCCTTCTCTGCAGCATGAGACAAATCCAGTCATTAATGTAAATAACTTGAGGCTAAACCGTTTTAAAACCTGTGAGAGTAGAAAACACAAATACAGAAGTCTCTTGTGCAACTTTGGCTGGTTATATGTGCGCATACAAGTGTAGTAAAAGTGTAAAACAAACTAGAGAAATTACAAAGCAGGGTAAGATACAATTCTCACACTGTACTTTTTTACATTTCAGACCTTTTCACATGTTTTCTTCAAGGCAAACTCATCACATTGTACATTTTCATTGACAATTTTGCACACAGTATACATTTGAACATCACATTTCACAAACACCTTCAAACCTCATTCTGAGTTTTTAGTACGATTCAGTGCTTCTGTTATGTTCAGTGTTGAATGTAGGATCTTACTTGTGATTTTAGCTGCTGAAAGATTTTACTTTCCTGCAAATGATCAGTGAATCACTTGTCTGTCTATAATACTCTTCAGAAACCTTTAGTCCTGTTAGTGCTAAAACCACAAGTGTTTGTGCAACAGCAACACCCAGCAGCCACAATGAGCTGCAGGTGTAATTAATTCACTAAAACCACACACATGCAGAAATGTGTTTTCTTTTGATTTTTTTTTTTTTGTGGGATTTATTTGAATTGTTTGGGGGACAATTTAGAATATCCAATTAGCCTAAGGGTTGTGTTTTGGGAGATGTGGGAGGAAACCAGAGATCTCAGGGAAAACACAAAAACTCACCACAGAAACAGGTGGAAGTGTTTCTGTGAGGCTGCAGCGCTGATCACTGAGCCACCGTGCTGCCCTTTGGAGGAGGAAAGAGGGGGGAGGTAGGTGGAGAGAGGGATGGAAGAGTCGGGGAAAGAGGGTGAAAGAGGGTTAAGGATGAAGGAGAGAGGGATAGAAGATAGGGGGAGAAAGGAGTGGAAGAGGGAGGGATGGGAGAGAGGGATGGAAGGTTCAGGTTATTCTGACTTTTGCCCTGGGCATCCATATTTAACACCATATGAAACCACACACTGGCACAGTGAAGGAGACAGAAAAGAGGGTGAAGAAATATAAATGAAAAGTAAAACACATGTATGTTTCCATTAACGACTGCACTAGTATGATTGCAAGCAGCTCTCTGTCTATTGTCAGGCTACACTGTAGAAAATAAAGTTTTTGGACATTTTTCAATGTTGTTTTTTAAATGTATTTTACTATTTACTGTTATGTTAGAGATTTTTTTCTGTTTTGTTCAATTACAGATAAAACAAAAGCATCCACTGAACACACTTTAGTTTTAGCTCCTACGTATGTCAGGCCCAGAAGAGCAAGACATCAGAGAATACAAAAAAACGTAAAGAGTTACACAATGGATCCGCAGAGTGGGAAACAAAGAAGTCTTAATTTCAAACAACAGAGATTTGAGTTTTCTGCATAAAATATGAACGCTGCACTTATGTGTCGTTTAAACCTTGATTGTTCTCCCTTCCAAATTTGAACACTGACATCTCGAGTGCATAGTTGTTGTTATTGTAATACTTTCTAGTCCTCTATGAGGAGTCTGTTCTGCACATGTACAGTAGACTGATGCATACGTATTCTGTGCATGCACATTACTGTAGCATAGTCTGGCACAGACACAGATTTTGACTAGAGGTCTGTGTGGACTCTTGTGGACAAAATGACAGCCTTACCATACTTGAGACAGCTGAAGTTAAAAATATGGACTGTCTTACTGAGACAGAAGTATTTAAGTCTTTTAATATTGTTGTAAATTATGTCTGAATATTGATTATATTAGGTCTGAGCCCATAACTGCGCCAAGATTCGTCCAAGAACTGCCGTCCCCGCCCCGTTTCAAAGTCTGCCTTCTGCTCCGTTAAATGTGTCCAATGTACATCAACACCCACCTGTACGAACAGATTGGTCTCTTTGCTTTTTGCTTTGCCGGCGCTCATTATAAAGTGAATCTGTCAGCTTCCTCTTTGGGGCGAATTAGCATCTTAAGCCTCTCCACTCGCTCTCACCGCCTCTCTCCTCTCCGCTGGAGAACCACTGGTCGGGGGCCCAGAGTGAGGAGGAGGAGGAGAAGAAGGAGGAGGAGAGAGGAGGGCGATAAGGAGTGCAAAATGTGAGCGTGAGGGAACGGAGACGGAGGGGAAAAGAGTGGAAAACGCACTCTGCTAGTTAAACCCGGTGACCTCTGTTTCATGAAAGGGAAGCAACATACAGTAGTAGTAGAGGAATCAGCAATTCTCTTTGTCCTAAAGCCAGAACAATTTGCATAGCTGCGACAGCATGCAAGCACTTTGTAAACTTTGTGTCCGGATGAGTGCTATGAAAATGAAGTTTATTACTAATTGTCTCTAACCGCTTAATCCTATTAAGGTCATGGGGGGCAGGAGCTTATCCAAGCATGCTGAGCATTAGCTTGAAGGCAGGGAAACAAGCCTGCAGTCCATCACAGGACTAACAGATAAACAGACTGTCTCTGCCTTCTGTAATCCACATGAGGCGGGGAAACACACGCAATGAGATGGTTTAATGGTTAACACATATATTTATTGCACTAGTAGGGGCAGCAGGGATTGGAGCCAGATTAGCCACGACATACAATATGTTTGTATATATATATTAGTGACTTTATTACACAAATGCTCTTTTATATGGAGCTTAACCAACCTGCAACAGACTTAGATTTAGAGGTGCAGCAAACACTAGCAGACTTACTCAATTTCTTCCTCATGAAGCACGTAATGTTTCCACCCATGTTTACTGATTTCATCCTCTAGTCTCTCTTTGTTGGCCCATTGCTGCTTATCTTCACCATCTCTTGTTGATAAGCGCTTTACTCTGAATACTGTGTTCACGCACAAGATAGACCCCCTGCTCACAGAAACAGCTCCACAGCTCCACTAGAGGTCAAAAACTCCACAGAGAGCCTTTAAACTATTTCACCAAAATCTAAAACTGCATCTTTTACCTCTCTGTCCCCTTATGTAATGGAATTGTGTATATATAATGTGAACTGCATCATCAATGTCTATGAATGCCTGAACCGAACACAGTGATTCAAATCAGCAAAGTAATTTCCCTCCGCTTGCAGGGAAAAAAACGTCTCGAGGAAAGAACAAGAACAATTCTGACTCATTTCAGCTCAGAAAACCATTTCTCATAATGACGCAGCACATTTCACCTCTGATCCGGCGGGCTGTCTCAGGCTCGGTTAATCAAGTCAATGTTTACATTAACACGCTAACATTTCTCACCTGTCACCGGCGTCTCGTTTCAGACTCGGGGATGGGGATGATTGGCTCTGACTGTGGCCCACTGGTCTGCGTGATGGCCGCTGAGTCACTCCTAATGTGAAACTGTTTCAGGCGGAGAGAGATTTCTCTCCAAAGCGATGAGAAAGGTCCGCAGAGACAATGAGTTATGAGGAAGCGGCACAAGATTAATGGCTTGAGCAGTTCCCGCCTGTGTGATTTGACTGTTGCCTTAGTGGAAGGGAAAATATTATTGTGCCATGTAATTATTTAAGTTGTACAGTCCGACAATTTTTAATGTGTGGCAAGAGATTTTCATGTGAGGGTCAATAGTTTAGCATTATTGCACCAATTATTTATCGACATAACATTGCTGCTTCAAGGTGATTGATCTGTCGTTTCCTTTATCTGTTTTGTTGGTCACACTTTCCTTTTCTGTGTCCTCAGGGGTTTCTTACTCATACGTGCAGGGGCAGGCAGGAGACGAGGATGCGGCGGTGGACGTGAAGCTGTACAGCCACCGGTGGAGGAGATGGCTTCCCCCGAAACCTCGCAACATGGACAGCAACAGGGCCAGTCAGGAGCAGGACCAGGAGCCTGAACCGGAGGAGCCCGAAGGCTTCCCAGGCCTGCTGTCTGCAGAGGAAACAGACAACAGCTCCCAGATAGAGGTATGTGAGGATGGGCTGCACACACGGGCCAGGCAGCTGATTACGGATAACCACATGTTGCTGTTTTTCTTTCTGATTTCCACAATCGGAAATCACCACAAATGTGGGGCTGAGCTGCAGCAAGGCTTCAAAAGCAAACACTATATTTTCCTTTTACTGTATATTGAAGTTACTGGAGGCATCTTGATTTATGTGTTGGGGATGTTGAAAGGCTGCAAAACTCTGGAGGCTGCCGCTTTGTCAGCCTTTCAAGTTCTCAGTAGCCTCTTAGACATGCAGGCTTTTGGGTATCTTTAAATTTTACGCATTTATTTGCCTTGAAGCGCAAGTATTTCTGCACAACTCTATTCCTACTGTCCTTAGATTACTGTCTGCAAAGGCTATGCCAAAGCTGTTTCCTCAGCTGTGCCTTAGTTCATACCTGAGTTTAGTCTGAAAAGCAGAGGGGCAACAGATTAAGTGGGGCTCCTCATGGCTCCATCCAATAGCTTGCTGACAACTCACTCCTCTCTGGAGTGTTTTTTAACGCCATGCTTCACTGATCAACAATGTTCTATTTTTCTCTCAATTCTTGTAATTAGTTTACATATTTGCGTCTTCTCTGTTGAGCCAAATAGTCGGCTAGTTCTTGTCATGTGAATCTTGGTTGCGGCTGAGTCACTAATAGCTTCACAGTTGGTGCCGAGGAATCCCGAATTTTAATTTATTTTTTTTCTCACAGAATCTGATTAGTGGAAACAGTTTCTTTTTTGGCAAATCTTGAAATGAGTTTTGGATGACATTGTGCGATTTTAAGCTAACTTTGGTTAAGTTTCCCAACAGAACCACATGTCACACATGATTAGATCCAAAAACCGTTGGAAACTTGAAAATCCGACGAACGTTTCTGTTTTTACAGATAGATTTTTAGGATGGCACGTCTTCCAAACCAGCTGGTGGGTTTTGGGGTTCAGGAGGGTTTAACAGAAACTAGTAAAAAATGTCCTGAAACTGTGGCAAATAATTGTGATTGATGATATCAATATTTTTTTACTCTTCAGCTTTAATTCACATCACTTTTGTTGTGTGTGGCTCGATTTGGCTCACACAGTAAACCTTCCTGTCTCATGAAAAATCCAACTAGTATAAAAAGAAGGAATCAATGAAGTCCTCTGTTGAGCCGTGTCTAAAAATACACTTTGGTCGCTTCCCTGGAGCAATTATAAATCTCCTCAGAAGAGTGGATGTTTAGTAATGAAAAAGAGGACGAGGAGGGGCCTTTTAGGATTAATATTTTATATCAAATTAAGCTCAGCCCTCAGGTGTTCATCTACTTTCTGTGTGGATCCTCTTAAACTTGACCTCAGAGAGACCAGGACAGGAAATTACCCCGGCCTCCTACAGCGAGAAGGGCCTAGTGGACCTGCCGGAGAAGAATAGCGCCTCTCGACCTGTGTTTGCGTCTATGTAAATGAAAGGCATCACCCGTGTCCCTTGTTATGGCGCCTTGGCTGGCGCGCAGCATTGAGGCGTTCAGTCATAATGATGGCGGCCGCCCGGGTTTAGACAGCTCGTTAAGTTTTCTCGTGGCTTCTAATCATCTCAGGTTCACAGCTCCTCGTCTCTCAGCGAGGAGGGAGGGAGCTTTGATCGTCGGCTGTAAACATTCAAACACACTCAAGTACAGGCGCGCACACACACACCGCTTCAAACTTCACGCATACACACAGACTGCGAACGCACCGATGCACACACCACTTCAAATGTCACACACGTCTGCTTACATACATGCTCACGTACCATCACACAAACATGTTCTCCGTCCCTGTTTTCGTTCTCTCGGGCTCATTTGTTGTTCCCGAATGGAAAAGCAGTCCGCAGCACAAACACCCTGCCATTCCTCTTGTCATTACCCGGCACACACAGCGCCTCGTCTGCCACCGGCACTTTGTTGACATGAGAAAAGCCTTCATACAGAGAGGGCAGAAATAGTAGACGCTGAGCTGAAATCTTCCACCCAGAGGAAAGCTGAATGGATTTAAGAAACCGCCTTCTCTACGCTGAAAGAGCTTTAACTGAAGACAGAAGATGATAGAGGAAGGAACTGGTCTCTTTGACACTTTCACAAAGCCGTATATTATCGGTCTGTGATGGTAAACACATTCCAAGACTTATTTGGTGTCATAATTTATTTCTTTGGCACACCTGCTTGCCATCAAGCTGCTTTGTCTGCTCTTGTCAGTGATTTGCGACCAAATTTCCTGTCAAGACAAATGTAAATCCAAGCCTCTAGTTTAAGGTCATGTGGCTGTATTAAGTTACTGCCTGTTTTGTCATCAGTTTCTCTCTGTGTGATTGTTTGTTGATGCCAAATAGTAAGTCTAGAAAGAAGCAGATTCATTTTTGGCTGTGAAGACAATAAAAACTTGTTGATGTTTTAGACAATGTTGTTTAATACAGAGAAACATAAACCAATTCTCTGTCATATAATAATTGTCGAACATTTGCAACACAATTATTTAAAGAGACATGATTCTGTTGTTCCCCTCTTCATGCTAAGCTAACTGTCTGCAAGAAAGTGAATAAGCATATTTTCACAAATGTCAAACTGGCACTGGGAGATTATTCAAATAGAACAATTACGGACATTGGGACTTTCTAATTGATTGAATTTGACTCGTGTTACGTGCTCAATAAATTAACTCTTTCATAGTATAATGGGGGGTGCAAGGTGGTGCAGTGGTTAGCATCGTTGCCTCACTGCAAGGTCGCTGGTTCACGTCCCGGTGAGGACACCTGGGATCTTTCTGTGTGGAGTTTGCATGTTCTCCCCGTGCAGTGTGGGTTCTCTCCACACAGTCCAAAAACACGTTGCGGTTAGTTGATGATTCTAAATTGTCCGTAGGTGTGACTGTGAGTGTGCTTGGTTGTCTGTCTCTAAGTGTAGCCCTGTGATAGACTGGTGACCTGTCCAGGGTGTCCCCTGCCTTCACCCTGAGTCAGCTGGGATAGACTCCAACCCCCCCCGTGACCCTAGCGAGGATTTAGCGGTGTATAGATAATGGATGGATAATATAATGAGTAGGCAGTCAGCCTACCCACAATGCTCTGGAGCTGTCGCAATTTAACTGTAACATCAAAAACCAATCAAAAGTACCTTACTAACAAACCGGTCACAATCACTTCTGTAAACACGATTAACACGCATTCATTTAACACAGTAAAGAACTAAAACAATAAAAAGCAACGTCTCAAAATGCAAATGACGTGAGTAAGTGACTCTGAATCCAGACATGCTGTCAGTAATGTGGCAGTTGTGTTTTTGTGCTATAATCTCTTCTAAGGTGCTGCTCAAAAGGCACATAATTAAAAAAATATCTACTTTGTTGATAGAGACAGGGGCAAATTAAAGAAAAAAAAAAGCTCAACCCTTGGCTCCGTCAGTGAGGGGATCCTATTATCCTGTTAAGAGCGTTTTGCTGGCATGGCATTAAAAAGAAGACTCAGTGCAAATCAATACAGAGCTATTTTGAGTGATCATATTTGTCCTGTGATGAACAATTTCCATGCTGAAGGGAGTTGGTCTCATCCACCATGACAACAACGCATCCATCCATCCATCCATCCATCCGTAGGGTACAAGGGGTCACTGGAAGGGTTGATGAGCATGAGAATGTTGTGAGTCATATGAAATGTCCTTCACCGTCACCCGCCCTCATCAAACATCATACAACAAATGAGGTGATATCTGGTGAGAGAATGGTGTTCAACCCTTCCAGTAGATTTCCAGAGGGTGGTGAAATCAATGCCAAGAGCCATTACAGTTGTTTTGGCAGCACATCGTGACCCAGCACTATTCTGAGCACTGTTTGTTGGTTTCTGCTTTAATTTGTCGCCCGTCTACACGGCAGTAATTTGAAAAACAACCAAAATTTGTCATTCATTTGAGCTGAGTTCGCCCAGCTCTGTATTAAACCTTTAAGGTCACACGCTTTATCTGGTCATTTATTTGTTAGAATGACAATAACTAGTACAGACAGATGCAGTCTTAGGTAGGAGTGTTTTAACAATATCATTTTAAGGTGAGCTAAATCCGTCTTTGCTCAGCTGAATCGCCGTTGTTCGTTTCCATTCCCGTAAATCAAGTGTTTACTCGATAGAAGTGAAGAAACCCGTCCATCTCGTTCTTTGTCTTTGCTTTGAGGTCAGTCTGTGTTTGGGTTAACTGGTGCCGTAACACCAGTTTCCAGTAAGAGCTTTGTCTCACCTCTGCGTGCAGGTTTAAAACGGTGGCTTTAACAGCAGACTGTCTGACGCCGCCACTCTTAGTCACTGCACCAGCTCTACGGATCATTAACCCGATTAAACAGCTCCTCTGCTCGGGGTGTCTTCAGGTCACAGCGAGATAGAAGAAGAAGAAGAAAGACCGAAGCAAACTGTGGGAACGAGTCAGTGTCACTGAATTGGAGCCAGGTTTCGTGAGGTGACGTTTCAGCTGGTCCAGACATGCTGTCAGTAGTCGCTCGTGGCACTTAACCGTTGGGTTTTTGTGGTTTTTATCTTCCAAGGTGCTGCTTCGGAACATTTTCTTGGATCACGGCCATGTTTTTAGGTTCTTCTCATAACCCCAGCTGTTAGGTTGTCATACACTGTAGCTTAATTAAGGTTTCTGTTGTCAGGAGTATCGAGGGAACTCATCACAGAAGCATGCTTGAATTTCGCTTGTATTAACTTTTGACTCTGGCAGAGTGTTTCAAAATTGGTCATTCCCTCATGAGTATTTCACTAGATCCAAAAGCAGTGGGCTTTCCTTTTCTAACTCGCAAATGTGAGTGAATACTGGAAATGTTTTCTCCGTATTACCGAGATTAAATCACCATCAGTCTGGGGAGAACATTAATTTGGTGAAAATGAACAGTTTTGAACCATTCTGCTGTAGTCAAACCACCAGTGCAGCCTTTTATCACATTATTATTAATGTACTGTGCACTTTGTACGAGCTCTGTAATGAATGTGAGAGC